TTTCTTGGAAACAGAGTTAAAACTTAGATAATAATTATAAATGTTAGATTATAGTTATAAATGTTAAGTTGCAAATGATTGATTTCAGCCTGTATGTTTTTCTTTCATAGAATAATAGTATACTTATTTTATTTGCCACTCTTAAATACCAAAGAATACCATCTGTCTGATAATAAGTACATGTATTTACATGAGCAAAAGTAAAGGTGAAAGCAGAAATCAGATTTATGTCTTATTCAATCAAACTTTCAGTAAGACAGCTTCTAAAACAAATTATTCTAAAAATTCTTTTTATCTGAAATGTCAGAGTAACAGTAGTTAGAAAATTGGCTGAAATGAAATTGACCTAAATGAACAGCACTGTAAAAAGGTCAAGGTGACTGGAATAATTTGCTGAAATGAGATTGACCTAAATGAACTGAAGGGTAAAAGGTCAAAGTGACTAGAATAATTTGCTGAAGGTTTTTATCTCTCTCTCTCTGACAGACTATCCAGGTTTAATTATGTAATTCAGTATTTTTAATCAGACTTTTTTGTTATTTCTTTTCTTTTTTTTGTAGCATGTATTGCATACTTTTTAAGCTCACCTGGGTACAAAATTCTCAGAGCTGAGCTTTTGAGATAGCATGATGACCACCGTGTGAGTTATTAACAAAATATCCTTATCCATCCGAATTTTCAAAAAAAAATGTTCCCGCCCAAATGAAGTCCACTGAACTTCTACATTGAAGAATTATTAACTAAGCAATTGGTCTTAGGTGAGCGATTTAGGGTAATCATGGCCATCTTGTTTTATATATTATTTATTCAAACAAATATTAAGTTATTCGAATTAAGTGATAGTTTTTTTTTAGTATATAACATTTGTTACTTTTCTACATGTATTTTCTAATTTGTTATCAAGTTTGTAATATTGTTTAATCAAAGTGCTGCAGCACTGAATGCGACGGACATGCAACCGGAGAGACATTAAGGTTTCTTTTAAACAAAAACAAAACACAAAATATATAACAGAGAAAATTTGTTCCGTACAAGATCGAGATTTGTAGAGCAATTTATTGTGTCCCAAACTGATATAATTCAGATTTTCTACTTTCAAGCACTTAAATACAGAATGAAATTCATGCCTAAAAACTCTGGTCAAACTTGTAAATCAGTGTCCTTATCGATTTATTCTAAGAAATGATATGTAAATAGATAAAAAAACTGTCAACGAAATATTTCTAAAATAAATCCAGGCAAATAAACTTCAAACATAATACATTATACATTTGAGAATGCTGTTTAGAATTGCTTCGTGTTATATCATAGTGGGCATATAGACAATAAAATATAAGTCATTTGTATTTTTATTTCTCTTGGATAATGTCTCATTAAAAAAAAATTTGGTTAAAATCATCAGCAATTAATAGTGATTTTTTTAGATTTTTTTTTTTATTTACAAGGTAAAGATGTAGAGGCCAGAGCACATCGTTTTTATTTTAATTTAAATGTCACTTAAGCACTACAGTGTTTAGTTGTCCTTTTCAATATTTCACACTAAATTCCATTTTCAACTTGTTTGCTTCTTACAATTGTATAGAATTTCTAAAAGTATTGCATGTAATCCGCTGGTTTATAATGTGTACTCCCTCATCGCCTGTCCAAAAATCAGAACAGGTAAAGCAGAATCTATTTTTAGAATAGCGAAGGTTAATTCATATCATGACCTAGAAAAATATGTAAACAAACCACAAGAATCGGAAGTAGAAATGATATTATAACTTCCTTACCATGAAAGACTACATGGCGGTAAAGTTTTGAAAAAACTCTCTTCTTACATGCATTTTCAAAAATAGATATTTATACTAACTATTGTACTGCATCTAATATATTAATAACTGCTGAATATTCAGCTAAACCCGCGGTATGAGTCACGAAAATAGTTCTTCTTTTATTAATGCGCGAGTTATCCTAGAGAGACGAAAAACTTTTGATTTGTTAATAATAATGTTTTGTATAATGTAGAAATATTTATTTCCTACTAATAATGTCTTGGAACTCAGAGGTTACACCTTTATTGTAGTATAATTTGCTGTCCTACTTTTTCGACAGCGGTAAATCGTTTCAGCAGTAATTTGCATATTGCGCAATAATACTACGGGACTACAACGTTTTTATCAATAATATACGTTCATATTTTAACTTGGATGACTTAATTTGAAATTTAAAAGGCTAAATATGGAAGACATTAAGATATCCAGACAAAGTATGGGAGTTTTGAAGGATCAAATTCATGTACTATTTCTTGGGCTGTTAATCGGTTTAGGACACATTGCGCGAGTGTAGCCAACGAAATCCCATGTGTAGATGACTTAGCTCTGAACGCGCCTGAGGGCGCGTCCGTCGCAAAAATGTGTTAACTTTGTGCACATAATTAATGGTTATTGTGAAATTAAATACAGAAAATGATGAATGGTTTTGTTTCATTAAATTACCCATGTTTAGCAATTTTGGTCAATGTGGAGAATCAACTGGCGATAGCGAAATGAGTTGATAATTGAACAGGACATGGTTGTTTCTACTGTAAGATAAGTAATGTTGTACAATTAGCACAACAATGCCATTTAATAATCAACATTTGCACTTACAGTAGAAATATCAATGCTTTAGACATTAATGACCGAACATTGCTAGATGTACACGGGTCATATTTATTTGGAAAAAAAACATTGCATATTCCATGGCCGGATGGTTTAAGTCTCTAACTTCGAACCACTTGCCCCTCGCTGCTTTTGAATCAAAACCCGCGGGAGAATTTGGATTCTTTCAAGTGAGGAAACTCTCCAGCTAGCTTACGAAAGGTCAGTTGTACTACATAGATGCCCGCTAGTGTCTGCAATACTACACAGAGAGTCAAAGAGACACCTGAGGTCTTCCTCCTCCACCAAACATGTCAAAGCGCCGCATTACCTATATTTGTGCAAAGCATTGATTCGTTTAAATCCCAACCAGCCAAACCGAATTGTATTTCATTACGAAAGGCGAAAGAACAGTTAATAAAGAAGGTTCTGTACTGTTTTGAAAGTTCCTTGATTAGTGCACATCTAAATTATTAGATATTGACTGAGAAATACATTAATTAAATAGATGAACCATGTAGCAATTAATAAAACTTTCAATACTATTTGTTCAAAAAACACTTGAACAGTGGAATGGATAGCGCTAGAACTCAAACGGGATGCTGTTTGGGTTGAAGGGCAAACATCGTACCTATAATTAAGCTATGACATGCACTTCCCATTATCCTATTATCAATATCATCGGCAAATGATCATAATACTAGAGAGTTATTGAATAACATACAATTACCTTGTACTTCAAACTGAAGTATAAAACATCATCCCTCAAAATAACAATGCTGGACAGTGAGTTATAAACTGCCATCAACAAAATAACAATGCTGGACAGTGAGTTATAAACTGTCATCGACAAAATAACAATGCTGGACAGTGAGTTATAAACTGTCATCAACAAAATAACAATGCTGGACAGTGAGTTATAAACTGCCATCGACAAAATAATGCTGGACAGTGAATTATAAACTGCCATCAACAAAATAACAATGCTGGACAGTAAGTTATAATCTGTCATCGACAAAATAACAATGCTGGACAGTGAATTATAAACTGCCATCAACAAAATAACAATGCAGCTGGACAGTGAGTTATAAACTGCCATCGTTAAAATAACAATGCTGGACAGTGAGTTATATTCTATGCTGGACAGTGAGCTATAAACTGCCATCGACAAAATAACAATGCTGGATAGTGAGTTATATACCATGCTGGACAGTGAGCTATAAACTGTCATCGACAAAATAACAATGCTGCTGGACAGTGAGTTATATACAGCCATCGACAAAATAACAGTGCTGGACAGTGAGTTATATACCATGCTGGACAGTGAGCTATAAACTGCCATCGACAAAATAACAATGCTGCTGGACAGTGAGTTATATACCGCCATTGGTGAAATAACAATACTGGACAGTGAGTTATATACCGCCACCGGTAAAAAAATACAATGCTGGACAGTGAGTTATATACCGCCATCGGTAAAAAAATACAATGCTGGACAGTGAGTTATATACCGCCACCGGTAAAAAAATACAATGCTGGACAGTGAGTTATATACCGCCATCGGTAAAAAAATACAATGCTGGACAGTGAGTTATATACCGCCACCGGTAAAAAAATACAATGCTGGACAGTGAGTTATATACCGCCATCGGTGAAATAACAATGCTGGAGAGCGGGTTATATACCGTCATCGACAAAATAACAATGCTGGACAGTGAGTTATATACCGCCATCGACAAAATAACAGTGCTGGACAGTGAGTTATAAACTGCCATCGACAAAATAACAATGCTGGACAGTGAGTTATAACCCACCATCGGCAAAATAACAATTTTGGACAGTGAGTTATAAACTGCCATCGACAAAATAACAATGCTTGATAGTGACTTATAAACTGCCATCGACAAAATAACAATGCTGGACAGTGAGTTATAAGCCGCCATCGACAAAATAACAATGTTGGACAGTGAGTTATGAACTGCCATCGGCAAAATAACAATGCTGGACAGTGAGTTATATACATGTACTGTCATCGATAAAATAACAATGATGGACAGTGAGTTATAAACTGTCATTGGCAAAATAACAATGCTGGACAATGAATTATAAACTGTCGTCGGCAAAATAACACCATGTGAAAATTAGGCTATGTACACTGTGTACATTGATGTTTCTATAATAATTAAATTGCACGTATGTATTTACTTTCTGTATAACTGTAATTTAACGCTTGAACACACTATAGGGTCAGTTCACGTATTGAAATAATACGCAGTTCCGTCCCATTTTTCGACCTTTTTAGCACTCGCCTTCAAGGAGGAACTATCCCGAGCTCAAAATAAGCATATATTATATGATGTCCCTTTAATGTGATATACAGTGTATTTCTTTAATCATATAAAACATACTTTTTTCCCGTAATTCTAAATAAATATTTCCACTTTGTCTAGATGCAGAAATAAGTCATCACCATGTATATAACGCCCATGGTCGCAACGGAGGGACTGGCAGCCAAATCAGAAACGGGACAGTTAGATAAATCTGACCCGGCGTTCTCACAAACAACAAAACATGACAGTTGTTGCCACTGAGCATTTTCTGCATGCCAACATGGATCGTTGTCGAGCCCTGGCGGAATACCGGGAGGTGCTTGTCGACGATATACGTGGTTAGAGACATCCCGACGGCGCCTGCCATTTTCACCATTCTTGACATCCTGCCCATGAAAGCAACTCAAAATATATGGGAAATCGAATGTTGCTCTATAAATGTATGGTCCAAGGTAAGTGTGACCATGGCAAACATCAAGCTCCGCAGACGTCCATGTTTTACCAGTAGCATCCATAGGACCATAGATTGGATATCCGTCTAAAGCAACACCGAGGAATATGTCCTCGTAAGGTTCCGTATATAAACAGCTTGGTATTCTATGATAGTGATATGTACCATCGGGTGATGGATGTCCCCAGCAGTTGTCAAGTGTCTCCGCACATTCTCCTTCTACGGCGTTCCACCCAAAACCTGTGTACGGATTGTAAAAGGCTGCTCCGCTGATACCGAGTCCTATGAAGAGAAGTGGCACATCCCTCACTTGCTGCAACAGTTGCCTCCAGTGGTAAGTTGTATGAATGGTTGACCATGATGGCGGTGTTCGGATTGTCGCCCCAACCGCCATCAAACGTGTGATTCGGGTAGCCATGATGTTCTATAGTTATAGTACTGTCACTTTCATGTTTTGTTATAGTAAAACCATTTGCTTGCAATACGCTAAGTTCCGCATCTGATAGAGCATTTTCAGCTGTAATTACAGAAAAAATTGCACAACATACTAGTGCTATATCGAGGACCTTGATTAATGACGTCATAATCTGAAATAATTTATAAAAATGCGTATTATTTTTTTTTATCATTATTATATACATGTACTTATAAATGAAATATTGAGAAATATTGATGAAATAAAATGGGTATTTTCATTTTCCGTATTTTCACTGTAATATTTTTTTTTTCACTGCAGTGAAACATATTTTCCGTATTTTCACTGGTGTCTTTTCTTTTAAATTTTGCCAGTACACAAAATTTAAGTAAGTCTTTTAAAGTGTTATGTCAAAAAGGAGAAAAATGTTTATCATAAACAGAAATTCAAGTTTTTTTCTATAAATACATGATTTATTTTCATCTTGTTCCGTGAAAATTACGATATTTCACTCGTGGCTACCGCCACTCATGAAATATTTATTTTCATACCACCTGATGAAAATAAATCCTGTATTTATTTATAGAAAAAAACTTGAATATCCTCTATTTATAAAAATGCATATTTTTTATTTTATTTTTCAAATAAGCTGTTTATTTTTGATGTCCTGTTTCAGTTTCCAAAAGTGGCTCGGCGGTTATGTAGCTTAGACATGAGCCGCGTCACGACAAAACCAATTAACATAATAGGTTTGCGACCAGCATGGATCCAGACCAGCCTGCGCATACGCGCAGTCTGATCAGGATCAATGCTGTTCGCTATCAGTTTCTCTACTTGTAATAGGGTTTGGAAGCGAACAGCATGGATCCTGATCAGACTGCGCGGATGCGCAGGCTGGTCTGGATCCATGCTGGTCGCAAACGCACTATGTTGGTTTTGTCGTGACGCGGCTCAAATATTTTACTTCTTTTTGCGTTTTGATATATGCATAGTTTAACAATATCTTTATATGTAGTATTTTGTACTGTATTCAAATAACAACTTTATTTACATTTAAATACCTATATCACAGATTATTTCACTTTCAGTCCATTTTCGTTAGTTGATAAATATCTTACATTTTCTATATCCATTTTTGCAACATTATAAAACTGGTGTTTGCATTTTCTACAGAAAGACACAAACAATATTTCCGAGGATTAATGTGCCTATATTTATTATCAGTCCGTATTAATTCTAATAATTTTGAACATTCATTCAACTACTGAAAACGCTCAATTTATTCTACTTTCCCTATAAAATAATTGAATAATCAAAAGAAGTAATTGAAGTTGGTTCTACTATCTACATAATAAAAGTCGCAACTTACCTTTTGTGGACGGAGCCCGTTGAAAATTCTGCGAAAACCGTGAAACTTTTCCGTTTAATTAAAACGACCAATGAACCTACGGGTATACAAGTATTTAGATACATGTGTATAAGTTTAGAAATATTGTGATGCATCGATCGGATATCAAATTTCGTTTAATATTTAATCACTAAATATGTCAATATATGATGAATCGAATTCGTGACTTTGAAACAATAGCAAAGATAAAATCAATAAAATTATTTTACAATATCATATTTGCATAAAACGGTAGCCGGTTTCTATTATCTTAACTCTATTTGCTATGATTTGGTCTAAATTACGGTCATTCAAAACAGGATTAATAATGATTATTAATGATTAAATCACCCGTGGGATAAGTGAATTAAAGATAGAAACATTTTTCTTATAATATTTATTTCATTTTTCTTTTAAACCATTGGAAATAGAAAATAAATAAAAGGTCATTCAATTTTACATAAGTGTAAAAAACTTAAAACAGTACACATGTACTTCAACAACGGTCAAGTTTCTGAATGTATTCCATTTTTCCACGAAGATGAAATACCGCTTTGCATCAGTTTTATATAATAATAATAATAATAATAATAATAATAATAATAATAATAATAATAATGATAATGATAATGATAATGATAATGATGGTGATGGTGATGGTGATGGTGATGATGATGATGTAATGTGATGTGTTATGCTATGCTATGCTATATGCTATATGCTATTTGCTATGTTATGTTATGTTATGTTATATGTTATGTTATGTTATGTTATGTGTTATATGTTATGTTATGTTATATGTTATGTTATATGTTATGTTATGTTATTATGTTATGTTATGTTATTATGTTATGTTATGTTATTATGTTATGTTATATGTTATGTTATGTTATTATGTTATGTTATGTTATGTTATGTACTTTTCTTTTGTGTTCTGTTATATTATTTTGTGTTCTACTCTGTTCTGTTCTACTATGTTATGCATGCATGCAGTATGAATAAACAATTATGATTCAGCAGAAAAACAACAACACTTTATCTATCATGCACCTCTTACATCAACTTATTTAATCAACCCTACCTGTACCACATATACAGGGTGTGAAAGAAAAATTGTTTAACCAAATTGTATTTAAATTTTTATCTTAAAAAGATATCAACGATAGGGGACATTTGCAATAGAAAGCGAAATGATAAATAAGAAAAATATAATTGGAATGTCAATAAAAATCTGACGGTGACATTCATAAGACATTTGATAAACAATTTATTAACGATATGCATGCTTCTTAAATCGTAACACATTAGTTTAAAGGCACATTATGCCTTAGAAATCCTTTATTTTTGTGTAAATTCTTTAGTAATGTCAAACATGCGTTTTAAATGTATTAATAGTGGATTTAAAGCATGTTAGATGTTTAAATGTTTAACAACTGAAGAAAAAAACGCTGGGCATGCAGTAATGTGTGGTAAAAGTAGCAAATTGTAAATAATGTAGTATTGTAACTTCCATACAAAATATTAAATCACAATAATTGTATCAACAACAGAAGCAAAAGGTAGTTCATCTACATGGCGAATGAGTATTTGTTTGGAACTTGAAATACGATAGCAAAAACAAAATGTTTTAAAGAAATAAAAAATGATAGCATATCTGCGGCATAATGGGTCTTCAAAAATTAATTTTAAGCTTTTTTGTGAGAAAGCTTTCAGCATATTTAAACCATTTCTGACTGCGCTTCTTGGAAATAACTTTGTCCCTAGCACCGCTTGAACCCAATACCTACTATGTAATGCGAGCCTCTGGCGACCATAATACTATTATATTCAACGAGTTCAATAAATAAAGTAGTCAAGTTATATACGAATATAATATTCTATTTATCACATTCCTAAAAAGAAACTATTTTTTCCAGTTAAAACAATCAGTTTTTCATACGCCCGCTGACATTTAGTGCGCTTTACGCTGTGTAATGTCTGTAAGCAAGTGACCTGACGGCCGTGCCATACCATTTTTTTGGGAGTCGTAAAAGCGGCATTGGTATGTGATTCATTGCACATTTTATATGTGGCAATTTTTGGACTTATAGAATGATTATCTTCATCAGCATTTATAAAATGCTGATATATTGTAAGTTACTTTATAAGGATACGCATGCCTTTTTGTCAAGCTGTAAAAACAGTGTGTTGTTTGAATAGGTAGTAATCATGTTGAATAGGTAGTAATCATGTTGAATAGGTAGTAATCATGTTTATCTACAATAAAGCAATGGAAAAACTCGAAAATTATACTTCTGTGCACACAAATGTGGTGATTAAATGAACCATTTTAAAATAAAGTGTAAACCAATTAATCACTCTCTCGATAATTTCTCGGCATTAAAAAGGAGGCGGGTGATTCAAATTGCTTTATTGACGTGATTTATGACTTTACCTTTTAATTTCATCTGAGTTTTGTATGATTGAAAGTAAAAAATACGACCCAGAAAATGCTAATCATCAACAAAAGGTGAATAACTTTTCGAGGGATTGGAATTAACGACCCGAAAGCATTAAGTCTTTGCCATCAGTATAGAGCCAGACCAGTCTGCACATCCGTGCAGTCTGACCAGGCTCTATACTGTTGGCTGACAGATTTTAAATATTCAAATTGATATCCCTAAAACTGATAATGGACAGTCCCAAAAATGGAAGTGGGACAAGTCCATTTAAGATATTCAGCATGTTCAGGGTTAAAGTCACACTGATCGCTTTAAGGTCTCAACTGACGAGTTTACACTAGTGTGATATTTCATCGCGGGTTTTGTATTCCAACGAGCAATTATTGTAAACCTGATCAAGTTTAAAAAACTTTAAGACATCTTTATTTCATCATCTTATTTTTATCATGATGGAGTCTTGAGCTTAGTTGAACGGCTTTCGACTCTTTGTTAATTAGTATTGCTGCCATATGATCAAATAGTCTTGGACCCTCTAGGGTTTGGACCCACAATCTAAAGGTAATGAGAAAAACACAATAGCCTCTATATCACATTTTCTCTAACATGTTGAACGTTCTACAACTAAAGTGTTTTGCTTTTATATTCTGATTTAAAACGTTCTGTAATCCATATCTTCTTCAACTACAGACGAGTATTTTTAACATATTTTGCTTATGAAAAATTCCACTGTTTATATATGAGCCGCGTCACGACAAAACCAACATAATGGGTTTGCGAACAGCATGGATCCTGATCAGACTGCGCGTATACAAACATCTTTGGTCATATAACCTGACAAAACATCTTTGGTCATATAACCTGACAAAACATCTTTGGTCATATAACCTGACAAACATCTTTGGTCATTTGGTCATATAACCTGACAAACACATTTGGTCATATAATCTGACAAACACCTTGGTCATATCACCTGACAAACATCTTGGTCATATAACCTGACAAACATCTTGGTCATATCACCTGACAAACATCTTTGGTCATATCACCTGACAAACATCTTGGTCATATAACCTGACAAACGTCTTGGTCATATAACCTGACAAACATCTTGGTCATATAATCTGACAAACACCTTTGGTCATATAATCTGACAAACATCTTTGGTCATATAACCTGACAAACATCTTTATAAGTAATATGTGCAATTTTTAATAACATTGTACAGCTAGTGCGGTCTGCAACTAGAAAAAAATGAGTGAATTTCTTTAAACTTCTTTGATAATCCTCAATTCAGAAATTATTATAAACACATTTTGTAGTTTGATATTTTAATAAAATTTTCAATCTTTTGAATAAATCTAAATCGAGTGAAAATCACTGTTGAAAAAATAGTTTTTCATTCATACATCAAAACAATTTTTGAGTTAATCAAAACTAAGAAGGGAAAAAAACTTTTTTTGAAATGACTTCAAATTTATGAAATTACAAATTGGCATGAGGCGTTTCTATTTAATATTCATGTTTTCTCCGTATAAATGTTGTTTTTTTTACAAATTGTTGATATTCTAATGATAATTTAGCAGACGAACACAGAAGCAGTTAAGAATGAAATACGTCAAACACATTTTTCAATTTAAGATTTCCTTTGTTGCTTTCATTACATATGATGTGATGAAAACACCCGATAAAATCTAGCAATGTTAATTTCACGAACTTGAAAAGATGAAAACATACAGTCCTCGTGCTGTATAACTGAGCAAAATTGGGCATGGGTGGCTGACCGTACACTTATTAATGTAATATCAAACCTTGTTCACGCGACAACGATCTTAAGTATGAAACATCCCCAGTTTTCTAGTGAAACTTTGCTATTTAACAGAATATTTCGGAATGGTATATGGTTTAATATTGTGCATATCTTAATTTTGTATTGGATATAAAAAGTAGTTAAATACTACAATTCACTGGTTATCCATTGTGTTTAAATGTCAAACACTTTTCACGTGTATTTGTATTTAAAAAGTCGTTTGCCATGAGGTTTACAAATCACGTAATTTCAATTGTACAAGGCAAGACAAGACAATTTGTTTATTTAAGTCTCACTTTTGTACATACATTAAGAAAATATAACAAAATTATAAAACAAGTACGCGAACAAAACCACTCTAAAGAGTTATTAGAGACCACTCTAAAAGAACATGATCATGACATTTAAATGTCTGTGTAATTTACAATTCAAACAGTAAAATACAATCAATCAGTCAATCAATGAATCAATTAATTAATTAATTAATTAATTAATTCAATCAGTCAATCATACAAAAATCAATCAATCAATTAATCATACAAATATCAATCAATGAAATCAATTCAAATCAATCAATCAAGCATACAAAACCCAATTAATCATACAAAAACCAATCAATCAATCAATCAGTCAAACCAATGATTTCTTTATTGAGTCGTGTGTGAACGAGGCCTTGGTGTGAATTACTTTCAATTACATAGATTGCGCCTATTACAATGATGATGCTGTTTAATTTAGTGCCGCGGCTAATAAATATGTCGGTTTGTCAATCATCATACAAATGCAGCCCATTTTCTGTAGTGCTATAATTAACTAGGAGTAAACATTGAAATAATCATTTTTTATTTGGAAAACAGACACATAGGATGTAAAATAATATAAATATGGTATGTAAAATTATCTACTTTATTCTATCTATTTGAGAATTTTGATACAAATGTTATATCTATACCCTCGCAAATGACTTTTACATTCAAGTTAAGTTTATATGTTATTGTTTAAGTATTTAACCATAAAGTTTTGCAATCGCACAAAATTAGAATAATTATCTACAAATGAATCAACATATAGAAGAAAAGTCCTGTACTCCATTCTTATTTATATAGATATAATTATTGCGAACTATTATTTTGCACATAATATGTAAGGCTTTATATCAGTAGCAAGGTTTAAATTTTCGAAAATATAAAAAAAACACCAATCGAGTAGGACCATCTACCTATCTTCTTTTTTAGCACCGGAAATTGCAAACCTGATTTGAAGGAAAGTTCGAATATTTATATTTCTAAACTATTTATAAGTTTCTTGAAAGTTTTATTTTGTCCGTTCCTTTGTATACGTAAAGTTTTAAACTAAATGAAACCGTAGAGAAAAATAGTTTTTAACAAGATCATCTAATTGTGAACCAGACGTTAAAAGTTCATACGATGGGCTTTTTAAGCAAACAATGTACAATCTCAACTATAAATAGTAGTTCAGATTTTAATATCTTTTTACATGTACACGTAGAAATGAAAAAAAGGTTTTGAGATTGCAAAGGAAATAAGATTATTTAGTTTTATTTTATTTCCGAACAGTTACCCCTGTTTTTGTCCCTGTCGTACATGCTTATTTATTATTTAGATTCAGAGTGAATGTCTTGTGTTAACCAGTGTATGAAAACGAATTTAAATTACTAACATTATTATCATGTTTTTATAACGATGCTTTCAAAATATCATCTCATTTTTTTTTGGCTACAAACTTGGATAAAGTGCATCATTTATAACAACATTTCATCTCTCTCTCTCTCTCTCTCTCTCTCTCTCTACATAATATTATACATATACACATTCAATATATACATAATTTAGTTTTTAAAAGCCACATGCCTCCAGATAAGACAAAATATTTCAAGAAAATTAAACTTGAGAAAAATTAACTTAGATTTTAAGGAAAGCAGAAATATTTAAGATTCTTGTAACAATTTACATGTTATGTGTGTTTAATGACTTATTTTGCAGTACTTATAACCATATTTCAACTGTGTTACTAACGCAAAACGGGCTATTTTTTGCCTTTTTTACCTCTTTTTTTTGTTAATTAACACGGATTGCAAATGTTGTTTGCAATATGAAATTGTTTTCTTTGTTAACTTCTCAATATTTTACTTTTAAATACATTTTTGAAATTTACATGAAAATAAGCATTAATTAGCTTTAAAATGAAGAAAAAAAAAACTACACCAGAAAATAAAATAGCTTCGTTTTAGATACTTTGTTTCAGCTGTATATATTTAAACTACTAGTACATTGTAATAAAATTTTTAGGTAATGAAAAAATAACTCTTAAGAATTTCGCATTGAAATTTAGTTGATTAAAAGTTCAATTTCACTTCGTATTAGAACATTGCGTTTATGAGAAAAATAAAAATATTTGTAATTATTGTTTATGATTAAATTTGTAAAACTTTATAGCATTCTTTTCAGAAGAAAGTGAAATTATGTTCTGATAATTACACAGTGAAGTTATCGGATTACAGCTAATTTCACAGTAACCGAACTTTATTTGAATTCGGATGAAAGTAATAATTAAATAAATATCATAAATGAATAAAAAAAATGTCAGAAATGCGTCAATACATCGTGATAAATTTGCATTAAAATTAGGGAATTTTTACAGACTTATTTCTAATTATGACGTCATAGATGAAAGCACAAAAATAGTCAAATAATTTTAAACTTCTACAAAGCGTGAAATAAATATATTTTTTCTTAAATTTCATTTCACTCATGTTGTGATATTTCCATTCCTGAATATTACATCCGGGTAATATACTAGTAGAATTCTATCTAAAATAGACACAAGAAAATGAGAATGAAAAAAATCAAGTTTTAAGTATGTATTAGTTTTCTTGATCGATGCTTGTTGTTTTAAGTTTCAAAAACTATTTTTCTTGGACTATATTTGTATATTTGGGCCGCGTAACAACAAAACCAACATTGTGCGTTTGCGACCAGCATGGATCCAGACCAGCCTGCGCATCCGCGCAGTCTGATCAGGATCCATGCTGTTCGCTTTTAAACCTTTTAACAAGTAGAGAAACTGATAGCGAACAGCATGGATCCTGATCAGACTGCGCGGATGCGCAGGCTGGTCTGGATCCATGCTGGTCGCAAACGCACTTTGTTGGTTTTGTCGTGACGCGGCTCACTTATATCATACAAAAGAACGGTGCATTGACTGGACACAAAGCAAGATCGCAGGTTTGTTACATCTTAAGATATTAAACATATTAGAAATAGTTTCTTAAGATGTCAGAAATAGTGTCTTAATATTTGTGAAAAATATTTTATATCATACAAAATTTCGTTACTCTTTTTAAATTATCCCGTATCAGCCTTTGCTAATACTTTACCTAATATTAAAGCCCGTAAATTCCGATAGTTATTGACTAAAAAAAAGTTCAAATATTAATGGGCTTTAGGTTTAAGGAGTAATTCTTTATATACATAAACGACATGACATTATGAAGTAATGGTATCTCTTCTTTCACAAGTTGCAAATTGGACAAGATCTTTCTCATTCAGATGCTTGATATGATTCTACATAAAACATATTCAGTGTCATTAAGGCGCTTGACGTTTGTTATATCATATCATAAAGCACATATCTGTCGCTAAATAGAAAATGTATTTAATTTAATAATTCCGTAGCAAAAACCTAAACTGAAATTAAATACTTACAAACCCCGTTATGCTCCGGGGACTGAGAATATTATTCGACATTATATAAAAAATCTGAAAGATTCTATCTACTGTAAAATTAGTGAAATAAACCTAAAAAACATGTACACATGTAGCCTACGTTTGAATTTCACATATACGGAATATATTTTAACAAATTATTTTCGGTAAATTTTGACAAAATATGTATCTAACTATAACATGTGTGGGTTTCTGTCCTATTGATTTACAAAAAAAAGATTCATCAGAATAATTCACCAACAACAAATGGACGTGACGTCAAATGATATGTCACGCCCCAAAATCAAAACGTGACGTTTATTTAAGAAATAATACATCATCAACAGTGATTTCATCACTAAATAAAATCACTGTTCGAAGTTCGGATTCGAAGAATTATATCATTTCAAATCAATATGGAGGATTAATTATGTTTAAAACTAAGACGTATCTCAGATCTATATAATTTGAGAAAGTACTACATACAATGTTACGGTGCAGCATTGTTAGATAAAGATAAATTGAACATAACATTTTCTTTTTTTCCGGATACCAGTATATCAATAAATCTAAACATACTAAGTGATGTATAGTAGTATTGTTTTAATCTATATATTGTTTTTCTTTTTTAAATCAGCATAACAATGTCAAATTATAATAAAAAATGATATTCGTCTTCAATATCACGCAGATTACAATGCAAACAATATCTTTCAGATCTAACAGTTCTATTCATGGCATACATTTATTTATCCGCTTTTCATTTAAACTTTTATTTTCAGCAGTATATAACACTTTAAAAAAGAAGAAGTAATCAAAAATAACTCTATCACATTTCGGGGAAGCTTGAATATTGTAATGGACAAATTGCTGACATAATTTGGCTTGTCTTTTCACATTAGAGCACATTCAATGAATCACCAAAAACCTCTTTTGGTACACAACAAAGTGGGCACATTGTAGAAATTAGGCGAAACTTGATAAATTGATGTAAATTAAAGTGATCCATAGACCACCGAGAATGTTACATCGAATATCACAGGTATCTTGTTCCATAAATGAATATCAGATGTCATTTTTTTGTAAAGAATATGACTGCATTTTAACCAGATTAGTTTTAATGACGTACAAGTAATAGAAAGAGCATCGAAACACGAGGTTTAATATAAAATAATGTAGCATTAAGTCATAAAGTACCAATATGTAAACAAAGTATTATTTTGACTTCCATACAAAATACTAAATCACTATAAGTGTACTGATTGCCAAAAAGCAAACGAAGAAGGAGACAGTTAAAGGTACTTGGCCAGTGAGTAACTTGTAAGAAACTATAAAAGAATACTGAAAATTTTAAGATTTTGAGAGATGAAAGCACTTCTGGGGCTTTATGGGGCACTAACTTACTGTGCATGTATGGGTATACGATTTAACTCTGACACATTACAATAGTAAAATCCAAACTATGATACAATATGATAACCTCATAATTGTATGATTTTTGAGAATTTGACTTTGATAGTTATTGTCACTCTCGGTCAAAAGTCATATTTTGATTTCGCCAAAAATGGTAGTCTTTGTCCAAGAAACGAAAACGTGGGATTTAGTTTAAGCAATATTTATTTTATTGGCCCACAGGGAGACAGAAATACAGTATGTCCCGATCTTTGAATAGATATGTATACAGCAATTAAAGTAAATGATTTGCAAAAAAAGTCAAATGTAGGGAAATATTATTTAACAAAATGTCAAAACGGCGTTTTAGATTGACGCCTTTCCGCCATTTAACCAAAATCATAAATACCATTATTTTATGTTATCTAAGGCAATAAATTTTTATTGAAGAAATTATCTGTATAATGAGAAATATCGTTTATATCTCACAGTTCCCGTCGTCTGTTCCACGCCTAATGAACTTTTTAAACATTCCTTTTCAAAATGTGTTTGATATTAACATTAAGGGCATTAGTTGCTCCATTTAATTTATTACTTTACGATGAGAAATTACAATGACATCATTTCGCAATAAAACGAAAAGTCTTTTTAAAAGGAGTTTTAAGACGACGATTAGACACTTAAATTAGAATGAAAATTGCAATACGTTCTTTTTGTATCTTGTTGAGTTAAAGGCACATTATGCCTCAGAAAAAAATATTTACTTCTTT